AAGTCACCGAGGAAGCCACCGAGGAAGCAACCTAGGAGGCAATCGAGGAGGCAACCGAGGCAGCCGAGGAAGTTCCCGACCCTTGGACCCCGTGGATGCAGAAGAGGATCATCATCGTCATTATGATGATAATGATGATGAATACGATTACGATGATTCTAATTATTATCACAATGGAGTCCGACGTACGGGCATGTAATTACATTATATTGTTTGACATTGTATTGATTTTGTTTTTATAATTCTGTCTGTAATAACATTTTTATTTTTAATAGCGTTTGGAATTTATTTTTATTGTAATTGCTCTAAAATAAAATTAAAATAATTTTTTATTTTTTATAAAAAATTGTTTTTTTTTAAAATCAAAAACATTAGTCACGGACTTAATCCGTGACTACTTTTTAATCCGGAATAAATTCAATTTTCGTTTTTTTTATTGTTTTTATATAAAATTGTTTTTTTTATAATCAAAAACATTAGTCACGGACCGGATCCGTGACTAAATTTTATCCGGAATAAATTCAATTTTTTTAGATTTAATATAGTCACGGATACGTCCGTGACTACCACAAAAATAAAAAAAAATTAAATTGAACGTAGTCACGGCTCGTGTCCGTGACTAATTCAAAAAAATTTAAATTAAAAGTAGTCACGGATATGGTCCGTGACTAACGTGCCGGAGGCTTATTCCGGTCAAGATGTAGTCACGGACGTCGGTCCGTGACTAATCCGTGACTACACCTAGTCACGGCCACTGGTCCGTGACTACATTCTAGTCACGCAGAACTAGTCACTGAACTAGTCACGGACGAAGTCCGTGACTAAAAGTGTTAGTCACGGACTTTTTACACTACGGTCCGTGACTACGTCCGTGACTACAGGCGAATTTTTTTGTAGTGATTGTTGTAAGACTCTTGCATTACGATTGGATGATGGGAGATCTGCTTTAACCGTCGTTGGCTCATTTATGCCCATCATAGGATCAACGAGCCATATTGCTTTTTTGAAGGTGATTGATTCTAAGCCTGGTTCGAGGGCTGACGGTTTCTTGTGGTCCTTTTGTCGTTTTACCCCTATCTGAATGCTGTGATATCAATTTAAGCCTCCTTCTTCCAAAAAAAAGTTAAGTGGACTAATAATTGAGCGATAGAGTTCTCTCTCATATGTTGTACTTTTAGGTATAAGATGAGCGGACTAATCATCAAGTGGAAGATTTCTCTCTCTCATATGTAATATTTTTAGGTACAAGTAGATAAATGGACTAATAATTGAGCAGAAAAATTTTCTCTCATATATAGTGCTTTTAGATATAACATAAACTGACTAATAAGTCAGCGGAACAATTTTCTATCTCATAAGTAATTCTTTTAAGTACTATTCTCAAAAAATATTGTACTCCCTCCGTCCCTTAAAACTTTGTCAACTTTCCTTTTTTAGATGTCCGACTAACTTTGTCACTTTCTCTTTTAAATAAAGAATTTGTGGTACCAGTTAATTCTCTCTCCTTTACACAAACCTCCACCACACAGTTTTAACTTTATTAATCTCCGTACCGGTCAAACTTGATAAAGTTTTAAGGGATTGATGGAGTACTTTATTACTTCCTCCGTCCCATAAAATTCTTCCCACTTTCCTTTTTGGACCGTCCCAAAAAATTCTTCTCACTTACCATTTTTGAACAATTTGTGTGGTTCACATTCATTTCACCTTTTTCTTACACAACCAGGATCATATATTTCCATTTTATTCCACTTTCTTAATCTCCGTGCAAGTCAAAGTGGGAAGGATTTTATGAGAATGAGGTAGTATATGAATCAAAAAGTCTATTGTTACACACTTTTTATACACACACACATACACTATAAATACTCCCAAAAAAATTTACCCCCTTTCCCATCTAAACCACATGCGCGTACGTCTAAAAAAAAACCACACCCGATCTAAAAAAACTCCCTCTCCTCCACTTCGTGCAACCCTTCCCTTCATCCCGCACCATAGACGATTCTTCCGCTCCCTTTCCCTTCATCTCTGCAACCGTCGAGTCTGTCCCAACCCCTCACCACAGACGACTCGTCCCTGCCAACCGCCCCCCCAACCCGGCGGCGTTCCTCCCCCAACCGTCCAGTTGTTCTGCAACCGGCGTTATTTCCCAGCTTAATCGACCCCCACGACGTTCAGTTCTTGTGCAACCGACGTTCTTCCCCAGACAAAGCATGGTGCGAACCCCACTTTCTACAATGGCCGAAAGGTATGGTCTTCTATCCTTGAATTTTTTAGTGTAGATATAGTTAATGATGTTTATTTTCAGGGTGAAGCAAGATTGTTTTGTTTATCAAGTTTTGGAACCCATCACGGCTTGGATTTTGAACAATACACAAATATCAATTCAATGTCTGTGTGTGGGGATATTGTCTGTGTAAGGTTGATTTTATGCCTGTTGAAGGACATATATATTGTCTGTGTGAAGTTATATGTAAAAGGATGTGCCTCCAATGCCTCCATTGGTCTGTGAAGAGTTATATGATTGTCTGTATGACTATACATATGTATGTGTGTGTTATATGATTGTCTATGTGACTCTATTCAAACAGGTCCAAATGACAAAAAATTCTAGGACTTTTGTTTTAACATATGTCTGTGTGAGTGATTGTTTGTCTGTATGTAAGTGAAAGCTTGTCTGTGTGATTTAACATATGTCTATGTGCTTATGGTTTATTTTTTTACAATGATAGGGCACTTGACTTCCATATTCCTTTGAGCAAGCATTTCCCTGCACAGTATTCTGTGTGCTCGGACGTCAAACATGCTTCCAAGTACATTCATGAGATGTTGTCGAAGAAACAAACAGGAATTTTCCGGAAGACACCATGGGGTCACTTTGTTGATATACCTGATATTCAGTTTTGTGCCCAAATTGTGCACATGTTGCTGTTACGACTGGTGAAGCAACAACCTAATGGGTGTGAATTTGCAATCCGGCTTTGGACTTCAAGGATGCCATCAACTTAGATGGGTGTGAATGTTTTATGTAATATGGGTTTGATTGTAAGCATTGATGTAACCTTACTACATACATTTTTTTGGCCTCCCAAATATTACCTGCAGTGGTATGCCTTTTATATTGTGTGGGAAACACTATGTGTGATAGTTGTTAATATATACTGAGAATGCCTTTTTGTATATTGTGCTTCTGTGAAGAAAAAAAACTTTGTCTATGCTTTAATATGACTTTGTCTGTGATTTGTGGCGTATATGTCTGTGCTATGTGCCTATGTATCCGCTTCTATATTGTTTGAGAAAGAGTGTTTTTGCATAAACATTTACAATTCACAATGTTTGTAAAGTACACTTTAATATCAATCCATAAATATATAGTGTGTTTGTGAAGAATAAACACTTTGTCTGTGATTTGTGGCGTATATGCCTGTGCGATGTATTCAATTTTGTATTTTTTGAATAAGAGACTCTTTGCAAAAACAGTTGCAATTTGGGGAGGGTTGTTAAATATCACTATAATATCTGTCACACACACATTTTGTGTCTGTGAAGAACAAGCACTTTGTTTGTGCCTTAATACATAAATGTCTTATTACAATCTGCCATGCACATTTACATCAAACTAAGATTTAAATCTAAACCATTACAATTTATCATGTCATTACGTCCCCCCTATCTATTGCCATGTTGAGAGATCGGTTGTGGGATCTTGTAAAAAACATACACCGCTTCTTTGCTATCAAATTCCATACCAACATCCGGAGCTTGTATTGAACTATCCTCAGTCTCATTTTGATGAATTTCTCCATCTGACCAACACAGACAGTTGTATACTTACGCACAGACAGAAGTATATATACACACAGACACACGTATATTAACACACACAGATTTCAAACATGAGTACATTTACGCAGAGGCAGTGGTAGATTTACGCACAAACATAAGTACATATACCCACAAACACAAGTATATTTACACACAGACATTTCAAATATAAGTTTATTTACACACATACATAAGTAAATTGACATTTTGAACACAAACAAGATTATATACACTTCACAAACACACAGACGATATTATACACTACACAAATACAGAGAATTGTATGTGAAGAACAAAGATATATTTAAGTTGAAAGCCAATGAAATCAACAACACAAACTCATACCAAGCTTAGGGACTTCATCCATGGCCGCCGCCGCCGCCGATTCTCCATCAAGTTCAGCCGCCGCCGCCGCCGGTTCTCCGTCAAGTTCAGTCGCCGCCGCCGGTTCTCCGTCAAGTTCACCCACCGTCGCCGGTTCTCCGTCAAGTTCAGCCGCAGCCGCCGGTTGTCCGTCAAGTTCAGCCGCCGCCGCTGGTTCTCCGTCAAGTTCTGCCGCCGTAAAAGCCACCAAAAATCATCCACCGTAGTGTCAATGATCGTTTCGTTCACAAAGCCACCAAAATCCATTGATTTTGAAGAGACGAAGAAAGAAACAAAGCTGGGGGTTGTATGCCTTGAGCTGCTGCGGGAAGAAGAAAGAAAGAAGGAAGCAGGAAGTGAGGAGAGAGTCTAGGGGGTGAGTGGTTGTTTCGCATGTGAGGGAGGGGAGGGGTACAAAAAATGGTAATTTTTTAGGCTATTTATAATGTGTATGTGTGTGTATGAAAAGTGTGTACCGCAAAATTGGTACTCCTTCCGTCCCGCTAGAAGGTTCCCGTGAACGGTTTATGATGCTTGACTGACGATAAAGCAACTTAATTTCTGTTCACACTCTGGTTAATTTTAGTAAATAAAATTAATATATTCAGAAACTACATTAAAACCACTACAAAGGCTGATAAAAAATGTAAATTTGATAAAAGTTTGATATACAAAGTAAACGATTAAAAATGATTTAAGTTGACCATGCAAATAGTGAACGGGAACCTTCTAATGAGACCATGAGTAAATATGTACTACTGCCAGTTTAAAACAAAAGGAATTGCAAAAGCTGCCCAAGTCCCCAAGTCTTGCGGATACTCCTTAAACGTCTTTTACATAGATCCAACGACTGAACAAATTCGAGACTCGGGATACAAAGCGACGGCAGACGGCATAGCTTACTGGGTTCTACAATGGCTCCATTCGAACCTTCAATTTAGACCTTGCTCAAATAAATCACTTGCATTATGAGAAGGGAGAACTGCTTCTTCACCTCTGCCCCCGATTTTCTTCCCTGCTATCCGACTACAGAGTAGGGTGCTTGCCGCTCTCTCTGGGTTCTTCAGCGCTACACTTCCCCTTCCTCCTCAAGATAACGTTTGCTAATATTCACCAATTCCATATTTGCAGCAGTAAGTAAATGTCATTTCATGCTTGAATGATCACCAATTCACCATTGTGAACTCAAGTAAAAAGTGGTATATTTATTTGAATCTAGCCATCTTGATTAATAAATGCAGTAACTGAGTGAGTAAATGGAGCATAAACAAGACGGGATTACCGGATTACCATAGTTTATTTATAAATACATTTAATTTACAAAACCTCTAATCTGAGGAACCTCTCCAGGAATGGGTGGTTGGAGTGGTTGGAGTTTATGTAAAAACCTACCTTTAGTATAGAAGTAAGGACGTTTTCACTTGGGAAAATTCTCAGGTCTAGTTTGTTCTTGTAAAGGTCTGGCAAATATTAAATATCTATTTTACTATGGTCTAAGTTTATGGAGTATGATATATTTAAGTCCAGAATGACACTAGAACAGGTCCAAGTAAAACATCACAAACCCAGAAGAACTGAATTTCCTTTTTGAGCTTCTTATCAGTTACAAGTGTGAAATTGTTAATTTCTGTTAGTTGATTACTTTTGTGGTTGGCTATGACTGAGTGAAGGAACGAGTCAGAGTTTCAGTGACTAAGCAAAACCATAGCATTACCTGATGTCAAAATTTACATGGAGGATTGAAAATTTCTCACGACTGGATGGTAGTACGCTTTCCTCCGTGACGTTCGTGGTAAATGACTACAAATGGTACACCCCCGGTCAGATATCAGTGAAAAATATTGTTCTGTTTTGCAGCAAATTATGTGTAAATATGTGATTTACTCTTTGGGTCTCTGCAGGAAGCTGTGTCTAAATCCAAAGGGAAACTCAAGAAAGCAGTTGAATATGTGCCTGTTGATGGTGGACTCCTCCAGGTTACCCATGAACTGTTGTATAGAAACAAAGTACAGTCTAGCTCTTATTAACCAGATTGACAACAACAAAACCATCAAGAAAGGTATTTCCGCATGACTCACTGCAACCTGAAATTATCAATATCGTTTTTCTTGTTTGCTTCACTTATATCATTATCATCCTGTGGTTCGGCGCCCTAACTTTTAGTTCTTCATTATATCTACTCACTTTATCGACAATGTTTCTTATGCACAAGGTGTTGGTGTGAGGATTTTTGGCATGTGACCTTCCAATACAATTTCTTAAGATTGTTAAAAGTCAAAGCATTATAAGGTCGATTGACTTTTTTATGTAGAGAGTATGGAGTAGGTGTGCAAAGATGATGTCAACCAAATAGCTACTGTCAGAATTTTACTTCCTCAATCTTACTTTTGCCCATTACGCAGAGCGCGAGCGGGGATGCAAATTCACTCAAGGTAATAATTTTGGCTTCTCTTCATTTATCCCTCTCAAAAAGTTTTACAATAAAAGCGAAGGTTATCTGGTTGATGATACGTGCTTGTTTGAAGCTGAACTTTCTGTTTTCATCGATGCTGTGGCAGCTTCCCACGATAATGTAAGTTCATATCATCATAATATCATATGTGCTTGTTTGAAGCTAAAATGTATATTAATGATATTATCCCAATTTGGTTTCCTATTTCTAAAGGCATTTTCGCCTTTTCCCTTCTACAAGTGTGATCAGGCTTTAGATGTTTTCCATCATGTTGAATCTGCACATGTCGAGGCTCAGTTGTTTCTCGAGTCTCTGACCAAGAAACCATCCAGCAGCTTCTGGGCATCTAATTCTCCAACATGGGAATTGTCTTTGCTTAAAGGACATGACACTTCTGCAACAGTAATTCTTGACATGCTGATATCAACCTCTTTGGATATTTTGGCTGATCCCAGGAATGAAACTTCAATCTTGGAGTCTTTGTCTGCAGTTATTGACCACAACCTTCATTTGTTCATCAATGGACATGCCAAAGAAATAATGAACTTGAAAGCTACTTTCCCCCAGCAGATGCAAGAATGGAGAAGCTCAGTAGAAATTAAGTGCAGAAGCGAGCATCCCAGCTGGTGTGCGTTAGAGAAGACCAGAAGTATGCTGGAAGACTTGGTGAAAACAGGGGAGGGAATAAAGGCTGAACTGGAGGAGCTTAATGGCAAAGAAAATGAAGTGAAAGCTCAGCTGGAGGTTATTAAAAGCAATAGTTTACAAGTAAAGGAGGAAAGGATAGAAGTATCCAAACAGATGGAGATTCTTTGCTCACTTGCTATGAAGCAGGCTGCCAAAATTGAGGCAAAAGATGCGGAGGTGGACCAGGCTAACAAAAAGCTGGAGCACAGTTTGAAGTCAAAATGGGCTGCAACAAGACATCTATTTTCTTGAGTGACATAGTGACATACAATTTCCCATTATTGTATATGTTACCGGTAGTCAAGGGATTTGTTTGTATATCCTTTTGTAAGGGCGCTTCTGTTGAAACCAGTTATCCCTAAAAAGCAGTATGGGACTAAGTTATACTGCGTACTTCTTTTAAAACTAGATTAGTTTGATCGAGCAACAAAGTGGTGGACGCAATAGGGAAAGAACAAAAAAATATTGGTTGATCGAGCAACAAAGTTGAAGTTTTGTCTATTGTTGGTGTTCACTTAATTCTTGGAATGATAAGTTTTTGTTATCAAACTTGCATGTTTATTAATTAAATCTTGGAATGATAAATTGTATGTAGTTATATGCAAGGTAGTGAAAGTCACGAGGCACACGGTAATTCCAACGCTTGAGGCACAAGGCGCAAAAAGTGCTCGCCTGACTCATGTGAGGCGCATTGCTTAGAAAATATCACTCCTACTAATATGATACTATTCTCCAATAATCAAATATGATGTATATAACACAATATTGAACCAACTACATAAAAAGTCACGTTTCTCACAAATAAAGTCATGTTTCACAAAAATGAAGTCACAAACTCACAATTAATCAAAATAAAGTCATGAGTACTCATGATTCACTTGAAGTCCTAATCATTAAAACTAGAAAGTAAAACATAATTAGATTTTAGTTTTCTAGCCCAACTCCCCATTTTCTGCAGGACTATTCGTCATTATAAGACGATTCTGTTTATTCTCCATTTTCTGATTTATATCCTCCGACATCCTCTTCAATTTCTCCATCACTTTCCTCATCCACAAGTCAACCACTAGTACTTGCACTGCGAATTATGGACTGCCTTCTAGTATATTTTATGGATTCTACTGCTAGCCATGGATCGGTTCCGGGCTAGGCCGGGCTCCGGGCCAGTCCTGGGCGGGCTTTTTATTGTTGGGGGAAGGCCCAGAACCGGCTTGGGTTTCCATCGGGTCCGGGCCGGGCTGGGTCAGTCTCGGGTCGGTCCTTTTTTTTTTTGCTTTTCTAATTAACCCCCGACCCCCTCACCCCCAAACCCCCCCAACCCCCCCTAAACACCCAACCCATCTAGGGAAAAAAATTGAAAAAACAAAAAAGTAAAAAATAAAAAGCCCGAACCGGGCCCGGCCGGGCCGGACCGGTTCCAAAGGAAGGACGTCCTGGAACCGCTTCGCCTAACTCCCCGGGCCGGTCCTAGGCCAGGAACCTGTACCCCACTCCCGGGCCGGGCCGGGCCCACACAGTAGAGGGTCGGTTCGGTTCACGGGCCGGTCAGCCCGGTACCGGTCCAACACTATCTACTGCTCATGCTGCTGTACTCAAAACACCCCATGTCAAGCCATCATGTTCGTCATCACCGAAAACTAAATCATTTGCAACACTTAGATGATATGCGTTTCCAATCAACCACTCATCGCAATCATTTGTAATATACAAACTTTGAACCGTTTATCCGATTGAAAATGGCTTCCCATGCGGGTGTATCACAGCCTGGTGAGATCATGTGTGCAGGCATATCCAACGCCAAATACTTTGTTGAGATTGTTGGAGGAAAGTGGCCAATGTTAAACCGTAGCTTCCAGCCAAAGTGTAATATACAAACTTTGAACCGTTGCTTCCAGCTAAGAAAAACGTTTGTATATTAATTAAGAATATTAATGTTTGATATAACTCCATAGCAACGTTCATATTAGTATAAGAGATTTAATGTGTGCAGTGAATTTAAAATTCAATATTAAACAATGAGTTTAATAATTAATAATTTTGCAAGATACATGTTTGATTAAATTAAGTTCTCAAAATAATTAAAATTGAGAAAACTTTTTTCATTTGAAATACTCCTATTTTTCCAACAATCCCCCACATATTTCAAATGAATAGTTTTAGTTTTTTAAAACAGTTTATAAAATTTCCGCTGGATTAATGGAATGAGACTTTAAGTTTGGTGTCCGTAGACTATGAACCAAACCGAGACGATTAAGTCTTAATAAACCGAGCTTTTGGTGAAACATATAGTTTCTATGAACCAACAAGCTACTATTGGTAAATCAGGGTATTAACGGTCGTGTCCCTCCCCGCACCATTTCTCGTTATTACGCCGTTGTGCGCCGTAAGGCCATGCACGTGCTTGGTTTTCATGAGTGCTCTAGAAGTTTTGTCATGCTTCATAGAGGCGGCCCCACCTCACACTCATATAGGTGACATCATCAGGTGTGTACCGCTTTTGCACACCACCCTAAAATTAAGGGCTCTGATAATCATTAAGAGCTTTTAGCTCACCCTCTCAAAGAATGCGGTTTCTAGCCTATATCTCACATCATGAAAATGAGCAATTTTAGTTAGGCTAGCAGAACTAAATGGAAGACTTGTTATTACCCATATGAACTTGCTTCATGGGATCTCCAATCACACAAGTTGGGTTCCCATCCCCATTTATTTCAAAGTGACACTAGTCTGATTTCCTTCGATGTTTCGGTTATCATTTTCATCCTAGGGATTTTGTCAAAGGAGTAGCTAATTCCTTCCGACTTCACAAAATTAATGAAAGTAATTCCATTCTCAAACATCATTTCACCACTTTTAAGGGTGAATGGATATCCACAATTTTAATTTATTTCATGTGAGTCGACTCAGATGTCGTCGTTGTATCCCGATAATACAACGAATAATTCTCAATAAGAAATAACATCGATGTGACCCCTTAGTACATCGGATAATTCTCAATAAAATATATAACATCATTGTATCATTATAGTACAATGGATAATTCTCATATAACATCATTGTACCGCTCTAGGACAATAGATATTTCTCAATTAAACATTTCATCGTTGTATCAATATATTACAACGATTAATCTCAATCAGATATACCATAATTAATGGTACCACCTCAACGCAGTCCAATGATCCCTACTTGGGTCATGAGTATATCGGCTCAATCTTCCGACACCACAAATTATGTCGGGCCTAATAAAAATTTATAAAATGTAATAAACATCCAATAATTTGGGAATACTCATATTGAGCCTCAGGATCACTCCTAATTTTATTTTATTTTTCAAGTGCATATGAGAGTCACAAGGGATACTCATGGGTGTGACATTAAAATGTCCAACCTCTTTACAAGTTTATCAGCATAATGCTCTTGAGATAGTATAACACCATCATCCTTCCTTGTGACTTTCATATATACCCAAAATCATTTTTGTTACCCCGAAGTCTTTCACACAAAAAAAAATTGACATATCAACCACATATACAAGCAAATAATAATGCACACACCATTTTTACATTTAGTGTATACACACTCTGTGTTCCTGACCACTAACCACATGACCTTCCGGTTGCACCATATAAATTTCTTCTTCCTCTAGTTCACCATTTAAAACGATATTTTAACATCCATTTGATGAAAAAATTTGTAAATAAGGTCAATTTCAATTGTATGTATGGCCTCAAGCCAAAATGTTTTTTTTTTCATTTTGAAGAAGTAGCTTGTAGATAAGTAAAAATTTAATCATTTCCAAAGGATTTCTCTATCCTTGGCCTCTTACTTCTTCTCAAAGGAGAAAGTTCATCATTAAAAGAATAATTTTCTTTTAATGGATCACTATCACTAGAGGGTTCATCATTAAAGGTTTTATTTCCTTGTAATGGATCACAATCACTATATGGCGCAACGGTCTTGTGTTCAATTTTCAAAAGAAACACATTTTCAAAAATTAAGCATTTTTGTTTCAACAACGTATAAACAAATAATCACACATGCATCATTCAGTGTGTACACATTCTCCAAAAATGATCACATTAACATCAATAATATAGCATAACGTTTTGCACATTAGCACACTATTTCTTCATTTAAGGAAATCATATATATGCTCCACTATTTCAATTTATGCAAAAGTAGCCAAGAGTTATAAAGCTCAATTTCACTCAATGAGATAGGCAATATAAATATAGCTAAGCACCCCCACAATTTTAAAGATTTAAAAACTGGTGCATAGCCCTTCTAGAATTTATAGAGAGATAATTAATATCTCAACCTTTATTTGTACACAATGATTTTATAAAAAAATGCGCCTTTTAAATTTAAATAAGTTAAAATTTAGTTTATCTCGAAAAATCACCAATAAATATGACAAAGAACTTTTATCACCTCTAATCACAGTACAAATGCTTTAATAAAATTTATATAAAATTTTCTAGAGGTGCTCCCATTTCACTAAATATAAATTTTAGGATATTTAGGAGTTTCATATATCAAACAAAATTAAAGACCAACAAAAAAAATGTCATGTAAAACATCAAATCTATTATATCACATAACACAATAATTAACCAAACGAAATTACGCAGAAGCATCATCATGCAGCATTTCAAAATTACTAAGCACAAAAAGTCCATTCTTACAATAGCCATTTCCCACAAGAACGTCATTTTTGATCATAACAAAATTGTCACAACCAAAAGAAACTTTAACCTCAACTTTTCCCAAGAGAGAAACGGAAACTAAAATAGTCCGAATCTCGGGCACATGCAACACATCATTTAGTGATAAAGTTTTCCCAGATGTGAGCTTCAGAAGAACTTTCCCTTTTCCATGCACCTTAACGGTTTAAGAGTCCGCTAGGTACACGAGCTCTTCACCATCTCCTATGGTAGACCCGGAGTCTACCACCCACTCATTCACATCATTAGTTTTACAACTATGAGAAACAACCGCAATAAAATTATCATCACTACAAACCAAGTTTAAACTTGATTTTAGTGGGTTGTTGTTTTTCATAATTGTCATTTTATCACTAAATAAACGAATAACATTTTTCTTAAAAAGTGGAGTTAAAGTATGACTTATTGTAAGTAGGAAAGTGGATAGACTAACCATAAAATTATACGTAGAAGACTTTTGTGAGCGTTTATCCGATTGAAAATGGCTTCCCATGCGGGTGTATCACAGCCTGGTGAGATCATGTGTGCAGGCATATCCAACGCCAAATACTTTGTTGAGATTGTTGGAGGAAAGTGGCCAATGTTAAACCGTAGCTTCCAGCCAAAGTGTAATATACAAACTTTGAACCGTTGCTTCCAGCTAAGAAAAACGTTTGTATATTAATTAAGAATATTAATGTTTGATATAACTCCATAGCAACGTTCATATTAGTATAAGAGATTTAATGTGTGCAGTGAAATTAAAGATTAATATTAAACAATGAGTTTAATAATTAATAATTTTGCAAGATACATGTTTGATTAAATTAAGTTATCAAAAT